CATGCTGTATTTACTGTAGCTTTGTAGTATAATTTGGGGTCCAGTATTGTGATGCCTCCAGCATTGCTCTTTTTGCACAGAACTGCTTTGGCTATTCTGGTTCTCTTATTTTTCCAAATAATTTTAGAATATATTTTTCTGGTTCTGTCAAAAATGTCATTGGTATTTTGGTGGGGATTGCACTTTATCTGTGTAATGCATTTTGACTTGCCTATCCAAGAACACGGGAGATCTTTCCATCTTCTAACATTAATTTCTTTCTTCTGTGTCATTCTATGGATTTCATTGTAGAGGTCCTTCACCTCCTTTGTTAGATTAATTTGTAGGTATTTTATTTTTAGATTATTGTAAAAGGTATTGTTGTTATGGTTTAGATATTATGAGTCCTCCAAAAGCTTATGTGTGAAATATTGCAAGTAAATTTAGAGATGAAAATGGGTTATGATAATCTTAACCTAATCAGTGCATTAATTCCCTGATAAGGATTAACTGGGTGGTGACTGTAGGCAGGTAGGATATGGCTGGAGGAGTGGGTCCCTAGGGTGTGTCTTTGGGGTATATACTTTGTCCTTTTTGAACAGATCTCTCTCTCTCTCTCTCTCTCTCTCTCTCTCTCTCCTTCCTGATTGTCCACGTCCTGAGTTGCTTTTCTCTGCCTCATTCTTCTGCCATGATAGAGTTGGACATCTATGAACTACGACCTCTGAATCCATGAGCCCACAAATAAACTTTCCTCCTATATTGTTCTTGTCAAGTCTTTTTGGTCATGCATGAAAAAGATGACCAAAACAGTAATTTTCCTGATTTCTTTCTCAGCAGATTCATTATTGGAGTATAGGAATGAGACTGATTGATGTGTGTTGATCTTGTATCCTGATACTTTATTAAATTTGTTTATCAGCTCTAGAAGTCTTCTGGTGGAGTTTTTTGGTTCCTTTAAATATAGGATCATGTCATCAGTAAACAGAAATAATTTGACCTCCTTTTTTTCTATTTGTGTTCCTTCTCTTGCCTGATACTCTGGTTAGAGTTTCAAGGAATATGTTGAACAGGAGTGGTGACAGTGGACATACTTGCTTGTTTTTGGAGGAAGTGATTTTTCCCCATTCAGTATGATGTTGGCCTTAGCTTTGTCATATATAACCTTTACAGTGTTGAGGTAAGTTCCTTCTATCCCTAGTTTCTCCACTATTTTAAACATGAATGGGTGCTGTACTTTGTCAAATGCTTTTTCCTGAATCTATTGGGATAATCAAGTGTTTCTTGTCTTTTAACTCTACTTATATGGTGAATTATATTGAGTGATTTCTGTATGCCAAACCAACCTTGCATCCCTGAGATGAAACCCACTTGATCATGATACACTATATTTTTAACGTGCTTTTTGTATGCAGTCTGCCAATATTTTATTAAGAATTTTTAAAAATATTTTTTAGTTGTAGATGGGTATAATACCTTTATTTTATTTATTTATTTTTATGTGGTGCTGAGGATCAAACCCAGTGCCTCAAACGTGCTACTGCTCTACCATTGAGCTACAACCCCCAGCCCCTTATTAAGAATTTTTGCTACTATGTTCATCAAGGATATTGGTCTGAAGTTTTCTTTCCTTGATATCTTTGTCTGGTTTTGGTATCAGGGTGATACTGGCTTCATAGAATGAGTTTGGAAGAGTTTCCTCCTTTTCTATTTTGTGGAATAATTTGAGGAGAATTGGTATTAGTTCTCTGAAAGTTTGGTAGAACTCAGGTGAGAATCTGTCTGGTCCTGGGTTTTTCTTTGTTGGAAAGCTTTTGATGGCTGCTTTAATTTCATTACTTAATATTGATCTGTTTAAGTTTTCCATATCCTTATGGTTCAATTTGGGCAGGACATTTGTTTCTAGGAATTTGTCAATATCTTCAACATTTCCAGTTTATTAGAACACAAATTTTCAAAATAGTTTCTAATGATCCTCTGGATTTCTGTAGTGTATATGGTGATATTTAATTTTTCATCTATAATTTGTTTACTTGACTTTTCTCTCTTTGGTTTGGTTCGTTTCACTAAAGGTTTATTAATATTGTTTATCATTTCAAGAACCAACTCTTTTGATCCTTTGTATATTTTTTAAAATTCTGAACTTCATTGATATCAGCTCTGATTTTAATAATTCCCCGTATTTTCCTGATTTTGGCGTTAGTTTGATCTTCTTTTTCTAGGACCTTGAGGTATAATGTTAGATTATTTATTTGGATCTTTCTATTATTTTAAGGTATGAGCTCAGTGCTAAACTTTCCTCTTAGATGTGTTTTCATACTGTCCCAGAGGTTTTTATTTATTTTTATTTATCATTATTCTTATTTGTTAGAATTTTTTTTATTTCTACTGATTTCTTCTGCTATCCATTTGTCATTCAAAAGTGTATTATCTAATCTCTAGGTGTTAGAGTAGTTTCTGTTTTATATATTGTCATTTCTAATTTCACTCCATTATGATCTGATAGGATTCAAGGTATTATCTGGTTTTTTTTCCAATATTATGGTCTATTTGATTTTTAATATTGATAAGGTTTGTTTTATATATGTAGGTGCACAATTGTTTGGGGCATAAATATTTAAAATCATTATATCTTCTTATTGAATGATTCCCTTAACTAGTATGAAGTGACCTTTTTTGTCTCTTTTGATTAATTTTGCCTTGAAGTCTACTTTGTCTGATATGAGAATAGCTTTGTCTGATAAGAGAATAGCTACTTGTTTACGGTACCATTTGAATGCTATATTTTTTTCTCATCCTTTCAACCTTCAATCTTTGGATGTCTTGTCTATAAGATGAGTCTCTTGCAAACAACATATTGTTGGGTCTTTTTTAAAATCCAATCTGAATAGCTTGTATTTTAATAAAGGGATCCATTCTACCAACCTAGTAGTATGGTGACAACTTTGGGAATATGTAATAGGTAGAGATGACCTGGTGCATTTATACTTTGAAAACACAGGAGACTTTTATCCAAGTTACCCTAGGCCAAAACACAAAACCCAAAAATGTCACCAACAAATTTAATATGCTAAATTACTAAATATTTACTAATTACTTAATAACCAATGCTTATAACATCGATTGCTAACCAGCAATAGATGTTTAAAACCTCTTACAAGTAGAAATGTATTTTCTCAGATTTCTAATTACTGATCTCTAGAAAAAAAAGCAACATGTCTAGGGTGTTTTGGATGTTTTAAAATCAAATCTCCACCATTCTATGAATGGTTTTTAAATTTCTCCTTATATTATTTCAAAAACGGAATGGTTACTTTCACAAAAGTAAGAAAGATGATAGTAAAATAATGAAGCTGGATTTGCCTGTCATCTGGTGTATTCTCTAGGAAGGCTCTCAGACCAGAGTGCTCCTGCTACTGATGGTATTGTTATTATTGCAGACTTTGCCTGCCTGAGTGTGGGAATAAAAGTTGTTAGGGGATAGTATGTAGGTTTATTGCCAGTTGTATCCTGACAACTCAATGACAATCAAATATATATCCTAATGTAAGCTGTGAAGAATACAAATTCTTGAATAAGATTTAATTAAAGTATGGAAATGTAGGATAGGTGGAAGATTTATTTGTTTATGTGTTGTGTGAAAAAAATTCTGGGGACTGAATCATCAGTCTTAATAAGGAGTGTAATTGACATGGAAAAAAAACAAAGCCATTAAAAATTTTCTGCAGTAGTAGATCATGGAAAATCCTCTTCTCACTCATATTTTGAATTGCTTATTCCATAGAATATTATATTAAATGTGGGTACTGTCTTTTTAAGTGGAACATTGAAAAATTATAAAATACTTAGTATGTTAAAGGTTAGAAATACTTTCTAATGGGCAATATGAAAGATCTAGGATAATTTTGCCTGGAGAAGAGGAACTTAGAAATAATTTTCAAACATTTGATGGTGCTGGTATGAAAAATAGTGGGCCCATTCTATTGTTTGCTACCTAGCAGCCTTTGACAATTTACTTAGGTATTCTCTGTTGTATACTGTACTGTCAAAAATTTGTTTTCCTTCACCAGTAACCACAAGAGATAATGATAAAATGAAAATGCTAAGTGCTGGAGTAGCTAAAAAGACCACTAGATGTTTTCTCTGATATGCAGAAGCTAATTCAAAATAAGGGGCGGGGGTATGGGATAAAAAAGAAAAAATCTTTCTTATGTACATATATGAATATACCACAGTGAATCGTACCATCATTTAAAAAAGAACAATAAGTAAATAGCAGAAAGATCAGTAAAGTAGAGGGAAGGGAACAGGGGGTGGGAGGAAAAGGTGAAACACTAGGGACTGAATTAAAACAAATTATATTCCATGCTTTTATAATTATGCCAAAATGAATTCTATTGTCATGTATAACTAAAAAGAACCAATAAAAAAGACCACAGGAACATTCTCTGAGTCTTATTTGCAAAGAGATTATAATAACAAATTAAGGAGAGGTGTTTTGAAAGTTAAATGAGATGCTCCATATCATGGTTTTATATATACACTGAGTACCATTATTATTATTGCTCCATAGGATGAAACTGATACCAGAAGTTATAGGAAATAAAAGTTGGCTTGTACTGGAAGGGCCATTTTTAACATGAAGAATTGTCCAATCTATGATCAGGGTTCAATTTATTTTGCTACAATCTTGAACCCCTTCTTTCTTTAGGCATGCATGCAATTAGATTTGGTTATTTTTTTATATGCATCTGTAAACCACCTCAGGTCTTTTTTGTAAAAAGATAGAACACATAAAAACAAAATTAATCTATTGATATATAGCAAAAGTGATCACCTCTGGAATTACACAGAAATTTCATGGTATATTTATTTAAAATATCTTCTAAATTATATTGCTAACTGCTAAAAGACTTTAGTATGCTTAGCAATTTAAAGAGTTTTATACAACTTAATTTTTATTTTTTTTAATGCAAAAGAAATAAAATCAATGCATAATTTGGCACTTGGTTGTACTATACCTTGAAACATGTTCTATGGCATCCTGGAAAAACACCAACTTTACTTCTTTGGGGTTTATAAGGTTATAATCATCAAGATAATCCTGAAGAACATTTGCAATTTTCTCCATATCAGGCATATCATCATAAATCCGATCAGCTCTATCTGCTCCAAACTATAAGATGATAGATGGGAGAAAAATCAAGTTGGATCAATTCTAATATGTAAGTGTACAAGATATGCATAATATGGGAAATCCACTTAACTTCTTCAAGTGGTACATTTCAATTTCAATAATCTTTGCAATAAAATAAACACACAAACTTAGAATAGGGCTTTAATTTTTCATATAATCCCACACTCTGGTTCCATACTTTTGTTTTTAGTCTACTGACATTAGAAAAGCTAACTAGTTGAAAATCATGGCAGATTTTATCGTTATAAACAATCATGTGGCAACTATATGTAGTTTTTACACAGCAGTCATCTAGAGTTATAAAAATTGTTGAGAATAAAAAATCAGACGTAACTACAGAGAACTAAGTTCCTCTTTGAAATTATTGAGACTGTTTTTTCTCTGCTGTAGCAACTTCCCTGGGGACACTTTTGATTTTACTAAAATATATCTAGGCAATGCAAGAGCCTATCTCTTCTTTTTAATTTGCTTCATTCCCCCAAGATAATATTATCACCACAAACACATAGGAAATACAATCTTTGGAAACAAACCTTGGATTTTATTTTTAATGACAAATTTAAAAAGATGTATTTCACACAAATAGATTATCTTTTTTTTTAATCTTTCAGGTGATAACACTCCTGACAGATATCTGGAGGTGTGTTCAGAGTGATGAGGTAATGGACACATAATATAAAGAGCTTGTTCATTGTTGAACCAGTATTAATTGAAGCATGCTATGTATCTAGGTCTCCATAGAAAGCTGGGGACTTAGGGAGAACAGTGCCCTCTTGGAGAGACACTGAGAATGTGTTACCTGATCAAGAATCAACTTGGTAAAAGAAAATGGCTGTCTGTCAAGGAAGGTGGGGTGGTTAGATGGAATATATATTTTAGGAAGGTCCAATGGGCAAAATCAGGAACAAGTATAAATATTATTTGTACATGGGGGGATAGACTTGAGAAGCTTATAAGGAAATAAAGGAAGTTAATACAAGGGAAATTTTGCTACTAAACAGGTAGCCCTGGAATAATAGGACAATTCTGTTAACTAATCTACCTTCCATCACTGAAAGCATTTAAGTAGGGCTGAACAGCTTCATAGAATTCAATAGGGATTCCAGTTCTGAGACTGATTAAGTTTCCTAAGATTCCAGTTGAGACTAAGCTTCCCTACTTTCCTCCACATCAAATTATCTAATGACTCTCTAATTCAAACTATTAACAAAAGAACATAGGTAGATCAAAGGTCAGCAAACTTTTTCTTTAAAGGGTCACAGGTCTTCTGGTTTCTGTGGCTTCTACTGCACTTTGCTCACAATGTATAAAAGGTTCATATAAAGTGTACACAAACAAGCAGCTATGACTGTGTTCTGATAAAACTCTGTCTACAGAAATAGGCAGCAGATGGATTTGACTTATGGGGACCATAATTCGTCCACACTTGGCCTAGATATTTGATCTTCATAGATGTAAAGTTCTTACAGAACATGAATCTGAATTGAAAAATAGTGAATGCTTTATAACCTTCAAATGTATTCAATACAATACAATATACTTGCCTTAATGAAATCTCCAAATATGATGGGCTTAACCAAAAAATATTCCAGGCCTATTGCAATGCCAAAATGTTTGTCTGTTAAAAAGCAAAAACAATTTTGATATAATGAAAAGCTTGAATGTAGTATTTTAATAAAAAGATATATAAAATAATATCAGCTATCATTAAACTGAAAGTCTTAATTAGTGTGAATGTCAACATCAACATCATGTCACTTTAGTTTGTTTGATCATTTCCCAGATTTAAGATTAAGAATATATAATAACTTTTAAAATAACTTTTGCTAAATAATAAATATTGGATATTTATTAAGAAGTACTTTATAATTATCCTGGCATCTTATCAGACAAAATACTGTTTCTCTTACTTTCCTTTCTATACTTAAAAAGTCTCTACTGAATTAAATAGAGTAGCCCTTCCTTAATTTCAATAAAATTATTTTAGAATATTTTCATATGCTTGAGTTATCAAATAATGTTTTCTCATGAGTACCTAAAATTCATAAATCCATTTTAATTTTCATTTATAAAAATCCAATTGCTTTTCTGCTAAAAAAGAATAGCAAAATAAAGATTTATATTTACTGGCCATTTCTGTTAAAATAACGTAGAAATAGTGTTTATCTTCATTATTAATCAAACGATCATGGAAGACTCTTTGACTTTCATGGCAAAAGAGTCTAAATATCTGCATTTCTTCTCTTATTGTTCCTGAGTCACACTGGAGGATGCCTGTTTTGTAAGAAGAAAAAAAAAGAAAATTCTACATTTGTGGAATCTCTAATAATAGTTTAATTAACTAGGAAATCCTGAAGTCCAAATTTACCCAAACATTAGCAGAAATGAATGCTTCCCCAGTGGATACATACATATAATAATGGTGAACTCATTTTCTTGGAAGCAAAACTGGGATATGCTATGTGACAACAATTTTTTTTTTTCCTTTTCCCCATTTCTTTCTTTAACTCAACATGTGTGCAGTGGGCAGTACGCCAAATGAGAAAGGTTATATTTCTTTCTTCTTAAAATTTACTTATTGGTTATTTTTAGTTATACATGTCAGGAGAATTCATTTTGATATATAATTATGAGCATGGAATATATCTTATTCTAGTTAGGATCCCATTCTTGTGGATATACATAATGGTGTGATTCACTGTGTTGTTTTCATATATTTACATAGGATAATTGTGTCAGATTTCCTTTTCCTATTCCTCCTCCCTACCCTCCATTCCCCATTGTCTAATCTACTGGAAAGCATTATGGAGGTTCCTCAAAAAAACTTGAAATAGAGCCACCATTTGACCCAGCTATCCCATTGCTCGGTATACATCCAAAGCATTTAAAATCAGCTCACTGCAGTGATGCAGCCACATCAATATTTATAGCAGCTCAATCCACAATAGTTAAGCTATGGAACCAACCTAGGTGCCCTTCAACAGATGAATGGATGAAGAAATTGTAATATATATATGCAATGGAGTATTACTCAGCCATAAAGAATAATGAATTTATGGCATTTGTCAGTAAATTGTTGGATCTGGAGACTATCATGCTAAGTGAAATAAGCCAGTCCCCAAAAGCCAACGTTATCAACCTTATCAAACTTTTATCATGATGTTTATACTGTTTTCAAAACATCAATTCCCTCTTTCTTCCCCAATGTTAAATTCTCACCAAATGCTAATAGCTGCTACTCAAATGACTCTGAGTACACTTAGTTACCACAAAAGCAGTGATATATAGCACTGTCTGGAAATGTTTCTGCATGGAGACCCCTCACATAGGGTTTCTCTCACTGTGCAGATGAGGCAAGGACACAATATACCATGTACACAGTTGCACCAGAGTGTGTACCACACATAACATAGTAAGTACTGTCCACATTGCCTTGCAATACAAGGAATTTCTGGAGATAATAATTCTCTATTTAAATTCTTTGCATCTAAAGTTTGTGTGTGTTTGACATGTGTATTTCTTGAAGTGCTTAAAGTTTTAATAATTTTCAGTTAATATTTATAGAAATAAGGGAATTTCTAGGACATTTTAATGAGAATAAGCAGAAAAATATTAAAAATTGGAAATTTCTGGATACTTTGATGTACGATCACTGGAGATAAAATGAGCCGTAAATTTTGAAGCTCAGAAGTTATCTACAAAACAGAATAGAAAGGCAATAAGGGAGGCCAATAAATAAATGACTAGATTAGACAACGTCTGAGGACCAGAGAAAGTGAGTTTGAAGAAGTTCACCAAAGAAACAAAGCCACATTCTACAATTTTCTGGGGAAAAAAAATGGGTTTGTAAACCCCTGGATAAAACTGCTAATATAAAGGGGAAGATTTTTTAGGGGAGGAGGAAGAAAACAAGTTATGTTATCCTGTGGTAAGGATGGTTTTAATATGCCCACTTCAAAAATTATCTGGAATAGAGAAAAAAATAAAATAGTCACATGAGTCTCATGCAAATGAGAGTTGGAAAGATCAGGAATCTGTGGAGAGAACTGGCAGGGTTGTCAGGGTTTTTAAAGCCAAGCCTCAGCTTCTGTCTTGGGCCATTGTCTTATAGTTCATTCTCAGCTTTATTAATGCACAAAAGGTAATGAATTAGATTTTGATGAACTCAGAAAAGGGAACTGGATTTCAGAGAGTCCAGATATTGCTTTGTAAAAAAGTACTTTATAGCTTTCACTTAGTCTACTTAGCAGATATTCAAAACAAAGTTACTTAAGTTTATTTGGATCCTTGTTGAGAAAAAATATTAGTGGTATAGAACAAAGGACATTGGATAGAAAGTGAAGAGACAAAGCAGATCATGGGGCAACTAAGAATTAAGAGTTCTTGTGCACAAAATAAGGGGAGGGTCTTTATCTGGGAATTGTAAACACATTCTTTAAGTTCTGACCTTCTCTGACACTCACTTGTTCATTTCATTCTTTCACTCAGTGCCAGGCACAATTCCAGGCCTTGGAATGCAGTGATAAACTACATAAAGAGTCCTCAAGGAGCCGACATCCTAGTGTCTCCACAAACTTTAACACATATGCAGACAAATATCTAGGATATAATCTCAGGTAATACTTGCTGTAAAGGAATATAGAAGGGGAAGCTTTGGCTGAGGAAGTAACGTTAAGGCAAGGAAAGTGATCCATGTGAATATCTGGGATAAGAGCATTCCAAGAGCAGTTCAGAGGCTCTAGGCAGACCCAGTTTCAGGAGTGGCAAAGAACTGGCAACCATAAGGAGGAAAATGGGAGGCAAGAAAGGCAGAAAGGAGGCCTTGGTCCAGATTAATAGAAACTCAGCCACATGGCAGGTCTAGGGAAGCAGCCTGAGGAGAGTCTGAATAAGGCATACAGCTGGCTGCTGTGCAGAAGGCAGATCTGGGTTCATGATAGGGAAGGTAAGCATATAGATTGGAGGCAGATTAGAGAGGAGGCTTTTCCTATTAGAAATCTTGGTGAAAGGTGATGGTAGTTTGGGATAGTATGAAGTAGATGGAGTCCTCACTAGAAGACTAGTGGCTAGATTTGGGATATATTTTGAAGGTAAACCTGTCAGGATTGTTCATATATTGTCTTGGAATTATAGAGGCTTATGGCTAAAACAAATGGCAGTCTCTCTGGGACAGGGACACACATGTCCAGAGGTGGAGGGATAAATCAGGAATATAGTTTTGACATGCCAGGTTAAAGAAGCCCACATGGATAGCTGAGAGAGGGCATCGAGAAGGACGTTGGATGTGCAAATCAGACATGCCCAGGAGAGGTTGACACTGAAGGCAAGCAATTGAACACTACCTCTGAACAGATAGTATAACACCACAGGATTGACTGAGACTAGACTATAAAGTGGATGGAAGATAGAGTCCTGAGGCCCCATCATCTTGAGGAAGGGAAGAGGAGGAACAGCCATCAAAACAGACTAGCAGCAGTAGGCAATGAGAGGAGGCAACACATGCGAGCATGTACCCTAGAACACTGGGAAGGAATGGGTGAGTTGTGCTGAAGGTTCATCAACCCATGGATTTGACTAGATACCAAGGTAAACTTGGGACGAGCAGTTTAGTACAGTGGCAGGTATGAAATTTTGATTGGCATAAATTACCTAGAGGGAGTAAGTGGGATAGTGAAGTGAGACCGTTTTTTGAGGAGTCTTTCTAAAAGGAGAAAATAAATAAAGGGATGATATCAAGGATAAATGGAGCCTAAGGAAAATTAAATTTTTAAGATAAGAAGTATGATAGCAGGGTTTTTTTGTTTTGCAATATTGTTAGGAATGACCCAATAGATAAGAAATTTATAAGAGCAAAATGAAAATTTTAAGAGCAAAATCCTGCAAGAGGGGATAAGATTCAGTGTCAGAGGGTGGCACCTGATACGAACAGGGGCAGCTCAGCACAGGGAAGGAAGATGCAGGTTGTCTGAGAGATTTGGAAGATGAGGCAGCTCTGGTCTGATTGTTTCCATTTTTTTTTCCAGTAAAAGATCATGAGTTGGGAGGGAGAAATTGGAGAGATATTGGTGGTTTGAAAAAGCTGTAAAGTTTTCAGCCTGGGGTGGGGGTGAAGGGTGACCTGTATGAGGACATGCTATGGGATTTCTAGGTGAGTCACAGACACTTGGGTACACACGATTTTAATAAGAGAGTTTATGCCAAAGAACATGAAGGGAGGGTGCAAATCAGAGAGTGAGGGTTTAATACACTACCTTGCACACATTTGGATAAATCCCTCAAATTAAAGACATAGTGGGACTTTGCTGGTGTTGGCAGGAGATCAATACTCATTCTGTTATAAATCTCAACTGAAGCTTCTACGATGCTTGATGCGGTTTGCTTTACAGCTTGTGGAAAGTCAAGTAGGAAGCCATTTAAGATGGCCTGGAACCAGAAACATGAGAGGGTTATGTTTTTTAAATTAAATATTTATTTTTCAAATTACTCTAGATATGATCCTGTTTTCTAATAATAACTAGAAAACCAAATTCTAACACAAAGACACGTGAATGTCAAAGTTCTTCCATTCATTTCAGAATTTGATCCCAAGAAGGGGCCCATTTTCGTCTTCTATGACTGGGCTGCTTGAGCAACATTCATAAAAATCTTTTTGAATTTACCACGACCCTACTCTCAGGTAATTTAGACTTCTGCTCACTGTGAGTCCAGAGGGTCTTCACTGAAGAAATAAACTCATCTGGAAATGAACTGTCTTCTCTCTCATTTTTATGGGTGAATGACCAGCAAGCCCATAGGTTTCATTTTCATGTGTATTTAAAGTGTGACTTGTATAGACTCCCCTGCCTCTCATCCCCACCTCGGTAAGCGGCCTTGCCCTGGTTCACTCAGATCAGGAGCTTGGAAGTCCATTTTAAAACCTCCCTGATTCTCCCCCTACAATCTTGAATTCATTTCTTGAATCTGTGTCCTTCAGTTTTTAATGACACCACCCCATTGTACCTTTTTCTTTTCCATCTGGACTCCTTCCCTTCTCCTTCCCTTCTCATTGGCCTCTTCACTTCTACTTTCCTCTCTCTTTAATGATACAAATACCATCTTCTGATGTTCAGTATCCCCCAACCTTCCTATTTTACTCCTCTGTCCCTATTGCTCACTGGCTTTAACAGCCCATACTCCTTCCTCCCTTAGGTTTCCACACTTGCCGTACCTCCCTCCCAATACCCACTCCACATGGCTCTCTCTTGCAGGTGCTTTCTCAACCTTCATATTTTTGGTTCCATGTCATCTCTTCAGAGAGGCATTCCCTGACCACCCAATTTAAAATAAGTTCTTCTATCAGTCTCTCTGACTTTCTCACACATAAATTGCCACAGTATGAAAGCCTAACTAGTCTCTAACCCACAGTTGCTCAGGAAAGCCATTATAGGTTTTAAATAGATAAATTTCCATCACCATTAATCTTGAAGTTACTCACAAGAGAAGCTTTCAGAATGCAAATTAATGGTTATGAATGATTTCTTATGATTTAATATTTGGGCCTCATATATGAGATAGTTAAAAATAAACCAAAGTTCAGTGCTTCTTGCTGAATATTAGTTTCAGTAGTTTAAAAGGACTATCTGTCTTTTTGAGGTATTTCCCTTGTGAATCCCAAATGAGTTTACCATTCTCCACATGGCCAGTGTTTTGAGTAGAAGCATCCCAAACCCAATCTTTAAATTTGGTGATAATATGCAGCTGTATGTGTGTAATGGAGAATAGACAAATTGGAATATATGTATATATATACAAATGAAATTTACATTACAAATACGAGAAAAGTTTCAGTCTATCTGTTCTCTATCACACAATTTTTAACATATATATTAGTAACTATATTTATCTGTATATTTCATTCATTTTTTAAATTATCTTTCTCCATGATGGAAGACCCATGAGGACAGACATGATATCTGTTTTGTTCAAAATAATACACTGCCATCTGACACATGATAAGTGCTCAACAAACATTTTTAATGAGTGAACTTCTAGCTATTAAACTGGTATTCATAAATTAAAAGTAGCAGGTTACTATAGAAGTTATTGAAAACCATAGCTTGGTATTCTACTTGTGGTTTACACGACTTGCTTGACAGTTTTGTAGAGCTCCTATTAAGGATATGCACACAAAATAGAGCCATAGTTCTCACAGTTGAGGAAGGAAGCTTTGGTATGAGGATATTATTAGTATTTTATAGAACTGATCATAGATTTCAATTACTTGTTATGAATTTGTTTTAAAATGCTTGTTATGGTTTGAATATAAGGTGTCTGCCAAAAGCTTAGGAGACAATGTAGCAATGATCAGAGGTGAAATGATTAGATTATAAGAGCTGTAACAACCCAATCAGTGGATTAATCCGTTTGATGGATTAATAATATCACTATACTGGGTAGTAACTGTAAAGAGGTGGGGTATGGCTAGAGGAAGTAGGTCACTACAGGCATGCCTTTGGGGTTTCTGTTTTGTCTGGCACCTCACTTTCTCTCTGCTTCTGGGTTGCCAGAAGTTGAGCAACTTTCCTCTGTCTTGCCGTTTGTCTATCATGTTCTGCATTACCCCAGGCCCACAGAAATAGAGTCTGCTATCAATGGACTGAAACCTCTGGAATTATGAACCAAAATAAACTTTTCCTCCTCTAAGTTATTCTGGTCAGGTATTTTGGTCATAGTGATGTAAAACTGACTGATATACCACTGTTAAGTCTTTCTAACTACAAATGACATTTAATTTAGTGGCAATTTCATCAATTTAACTTGTGTATTGTTTAGTTTACCCTTATAATATCTAGGGACACTTATTCTAGCATAAAAACTTCCAATAAATAGACACTCAAGCGTATGTGAATGTGGCTCAAAATCTGTGCAAATCTTGACCTATCATTAGTGATATGCCCCCTGCATATATGCAGCATTCAACAAACTTACAAAAGAGAATTAAAGAAAGCACTTTAATATCATTGCTTAAAAATAATAGGCAATTAAAAACATTATATATATTACATTACAAATTATAAACTTTTATATATAGCATATGTATATACTATTTAGACCCATAGACCTCTTTTATACAGAAATAAATCAATTTTTATTATATATGTTGCTAATAAATTTAACTTATTTATTGTCCTGTTCTTAAGTTCTTGGCTAATCCCAGGTCCTTCTACTGTCATTCAATGACAAAGGATAGGGAGCGATGGCTGTGAACTCTTGGGTCTAATTTAGACAGATTGTGATTAAAGTTTGAGATCCATGGGCCTATAGCAAGTCCCTTTTTTCTACAAGTAAAATATCTTGCTTTGGTAAGGAGGGAAGTATGTGTCCTATCTAAATCCAGTCCCTGCCAGTATTTCCCAGAATCTCTTTCTATTTCTACCCACACCAGGTATGAGTTTTAATTATAAATCTGTAAGTCTCAGTGAGAAGCAGCAGCTTCATCCCAGTCTGTTTTCAGCTGTGATGTTCTTGCTGGATGATGTTTTCATGAGGGGCATATTTGTTTAGATATGTTAATTATAAGCAATAAGTTCCCATCCTTTCATAGTCTAAAGATTCTCCAAAAACTTTTACCTATCAATTTGGCAAAGGCTTTTAACTTACTGGAATTAATTCAAATATAAAAATTAAATTCAAATTAAAAATAACTTCCCATGAATGTAAGCTATGTCAGTGTGAATAAAAAAATCATCTGCATGTTCTAAAGAATATACTTGCTGGCTCTTCTCCCTTTTCTCCTCTAAGACAGTCTCCATTGGAAGAAGAGGCCTATGCTGGTAAATGTAGAGGCTCACATAATTCTGGCATCAACAATTACTGACAGTCAGTTTCTCCAGACTAGTCACCTAAACTGTCTTATTTGACCTGCATGCCCATTTTCTGTTTCCTGCTTCTGTGATTGCATTCACCTAAGTACCATCTGTTCCTGGGATCTCTTCCTCCTTGATAATTCCCATCTTTCTCCAAGACCCAGCTTACAATCTATCTTCTCTAGGCCCTTGGCTTGTTGGTTATGGCACGCTGTAGTCATGCTGCTTTATGTTCTCTCATCATTCTGTTCAATATAAGATTTCATATTTATTGAACATTTCTGTTGAATACGTGCAGGTTAGGTACCATTATTTTATCCACTTAAAAGACAAGGAAGTAACCCTATAGGGAAAAGAGTACTGGTTTCCACCCAGGAATATGGGTTATTGTTAGTAGTGGCAGTGGGAGAAGTGATGAATTCTTAGTGTGTTGAGCTTGACCACCCTAGCATTCTAGGGTGTCATGTGCTGCATTTGATGCAAATGCACTCTTATATACTTGAAGGTAAGGTCTGAAATGTGCATTCAAGTGAGAGCTAGCCAGTAGGCAGACCTGCTAACTGTGTAGAGTGCTAAGGGACAGAAGCCTAAGACATAACCTTCCTTATGGGTAGAAGTCATGTTTGGACAATTATTTTGCATTACTAAAACTTATCTCTGAGGCTGTAAACACAGAAGGCAGAGATTCAAACATCTTCTAACTATTCTCCAGGTGTCCATAGCTACTAGTTTTCTGATCCAAAAAAGGTCCCTAGAAATATGGGCTCCCTATAAATATGGTAGGTCACTTTGTGGGAGCCTAAGGACATGTTTTATTTTTCTCCTCTTGTCTAAGTTTAAATTCATACTCACATAAAAAATATGTTTCAGACTGTGCTCTGAGGGCATCGGGAGGCACAGCATGCTGAAGTGTCGGATGAAACGAGGGGTCACAGGATTGCGACCACCTCCTGGAGGTGCACATGCTGATACGATTGTTACATCCTACAGAGAGAGAAATTCACTTGGGTCACCTAGCCACAGAAAGAGATGAGATATGCCCTTCCCAATAGCAGACAAAGAACCAGAATTTTCTGAGGACCTGCCATGAGCCAGAATTGCATAAAATTTTTGTACACATTAAATGACTTAATCCTCATGGCCACCTCAGGAGGTCACTGTTCTTATTCTCATTTCATGTATGAAAATAAAACCCAAAGTCCTGGATTGTTAAATACATTTTTAAGATCAAACAAGGAATTGGCAGTAGCAGAGCTGCATTTTGAAAAGGTTATTCGGGATGTCTGCAGACTGGGGAACAGAGTATAAGTATGTGAAGACCAGCAACTGTGCCAGTTTAAATCTCCCAATATCCCTATGAGATGGACAGTGTTGATTTCAATATTCCAGAAGAGAGTGGGCTTGTCTTTAGAAAATGGCCATGGAGATGAAAAGACATAAGTTATTATAGAAATATGTATAGTGAATAGCCTATATGTTAGAGGAAAATTCTAGAATTTGGGCTGTGTCTTCTTTCCCCTTGGGTGAATAACTCTATTATACTATCTTAATAACCTATCTTATAAGGATGCTGGGAGGATTAAATGGGAGCCACTGAGAACAGTGCTTGGTATAATTTGCTTTTGTGGGTAAAAGGCAAGTCACTCTAGACATGCCCACTTTCCAGAACAGAAAGGCAGTCAACCTAAGCTGCCTTTCTCCCTCTGAGTCCTGCTGATCTTCCTCCTAAAACCTGCTGGTTGTACACTTCATCATCACATTGAGGACCTGACCCTCATCTCTTCTGCTATTAGTACTGTAGTTCCTCTGGTCTTACTTCCTCTCTAGCCCATCCCTTCCCTATATCATTTTCCTCAAGACTCGCTATCATATACAGGACAAATCTATATTCCTCATCATGGGGCCAGAACCTTCTGGGATGTGACTTTTGTATCTCCTGCTGCTTTGGGGCTCACATTTCATACCACTATGATATCCCACATTCCCTGCTTCTGAGGTATAAAATGATGCCTTTCTTTGCTCTGACTTGCTCTGACTATAAAACCCAACTCCAAGATCTCCTCTTTTGGGAAGGCTTCTCTCATCCTCAATCCAAACCGCTGTCTCTCCCATGTCTTTTGCCCTGGACTGTAAATATCTGCCCATTTTCCAAAGCTGAATTCTCTTGGGGGTGAGGACAGTCTTATTTGCCTTTGAATTTCCCGACTCAACCATGGCAAGAACTCAATATAAATTGAATGAATTGTATTACACATTTAAGAAATACCAAGGCCTTGTTGTAGGCTGAATTATGTCTTCTAGCCCCAAATAATATGCTGAAATCCTAATTCTCAGTACCTTAGAATGTGACCATATTTAGAGATAGGGTACACAAAGATGATGAAAATAAAATGATATAATTAGGATGAGCCCTACTCCAATATAATTGGTGTTCTTATAAGAAGAGATTTGAACACAGAGGGCAGTCCATTGTTATGATTTTAATATGGTTTGATCCATAACTCATGTTGGGGTTTAATCCCCATTTTGAGGTATTAAGAGAATGGAAACTTAATACAACTATGGTATTTAGGGTAAGACATTGGGGGATGATGAAGATTAGATAAAATCATCAGGGTGAAACCTTCCCTTTTGAATACTGGTGACTTTATAAGAACAGGGAGGCAAGAAGATACACACACATGTTCTCTGTGTCTTGTTATGTGATGCTTTGCACTGCCCAGTACTCTGAAGCAAGAAGCTATCACAGAGGAAACCACTCAATTAGGGACCCAAATCATAAGCCAAAACTAATTATTTTTATTTATAACTTACTATCAGTGTTATAGTGTTATTAGCAACATAAAATGGCCAAACACTGAAAATTAGTACCAAGAAGTGAGACTGCTGCCAATAATGAATATCTGAAAATGTGCAATCAGCTTTGGGATTGAATAATGAGTAGAGGCAAAAAAGTTGGAGAAGTTGACTAGAAAAACTCAGAGTTCTGTAAATGGAGCATGATAGGTGATTCTTGTGAGGGCTCAAGAAATGAGGAGACAGGGAAATAGTCTCAGATGAAAATGATGATCCTATTGAAAATCTGAGTAAAAGTCATCATTGCAAAAAATTTGGCTGAACTATGTCTATGTCCCAGAGTTTTATGGCAGGCCAAATTTAAGAATGATGAAAAACTGGTGGAGAATATTCTAAGTAATATATAGAAGGACTATTTAAGGCTGTTTTTAGTGCAATTCAAGGGCAAAAGGAAACGATGGAAAGATTTGAAAATGTGTAGCTTGATCAGGGAAGGAGTAAAGAAAAAAATCTGAAAGAATGTGGATGAGAAAACATTTGCTAAGATTAGCAGGGATATCAGTTGTTAAGAGATGAGAAAAAGAAGATGGCCGCGAATAGAGTGCATCACACCCCATGTACCGCGCCACTGCGCGGGTGAATAACGAGTTAGAAGGACAAAAAACTATCTTGTTAGGAACTTACAGCAAAATGGGGGTGCACCGAAACCTAGAGGAAGGATTTCCAGCACAGAGGTCCGGTAATTGAGTCTCATACACGAGCCAACTGTGCGACCGGAGATCCCGGCTGACTGATCCGTGTGGCCCGCCCCGCGGCTACAGACGGCGGCGCCGAGAAGCGACCAGCAAGCAGGGAGATTCCTGCAGATTCTGTGGAATCCTGCCGCCTGAGCACTCACGAAGCCCCGGGCTGAGTTCGGGATTTCAGACGGGGAAGGAAGCGGGACAGCTCTATCCCCCACAACGGAAACTCCACCAAGGAAACCAGCGGCCACCATCTTGGAGAGCTGAAGTAACCACCGCCACTCTCCAACAGATTGCAACAATAAAACAGGTGCGTGTTACTCAGCTCATCTCCCATACAGCGGGGACGCATAAAATCTCTCCTAGGCTCTCCAGGGGAGGGATTATCAGAGCAAGCCTGCATAAAGACACGGGGAAAACTAGAGACACCTGACCTTCAACTCCCCCTCCCATCAGCGGGGAAAATGAAACCTGTATTGCCAGCGCGGGGGGAGAGGCAAGCGGAAAAAATCAAAACAATAGAGTGCCGGGGGGTTCTCAATAGCCACCCTCCAAGCCCAACAAACGGCAGGCCCAGCGTACAGTTTGAACTGCCGAGAGGCATCACTCAGGGGAAATCTGGTCTAGCAGGAGAAACCAGGACTAGCAGGAGAAACCAGGGGACTAGAGGCCAGGCCCTCGCGATTGGGCTGCTGGAGAACGCACGCCCGCCAGCGAAACTCCACCCGCTGCCCGCGTGACTGGGTGGCTGGAGTCCACCCCCCGCCGGCGACCAACGGCGCGACTGGGCAGCTAGAGATTGCCCGCCCATCAGCAACAGCTGGCCCATTGCCTCTGCGACTGGGTGGCTAGAGATGGCCCGCCCACCAGCGACAGCTGGCCCATTGCCCCTGCGACTGAGCAGCTGGAAACCGCACGCCCGCCGGCGACCAATCGCCCGCCGGCTGCCCGCACGACTGGGCAGCTGGGGACCGCCCGCCCGCCTGCGACAGCCGGCCCATTGCCCATGCGACTGGGCGGCTAGACATCGCCCGCCCGCCGGCGACAGCCAGCCCGCTGCCTGTGCGACTAGGCAGCTGAAGACCGCACGCCCACAGGCGACCGATCATCCACCCACTGCCTGCGCGACTGGGCGGCTGGAAACCGCCCGCCTGCTGGCGACTGACCCCGCAACTGGACGGCTATAGATCACCCGCCCGCCAGCGACAGCCCACCCGCTGACCGCGTGACTGGGCGGCTGGAGACCGCCCGGCCGCTGGCGTCCGGGAGCTGAAACCAACCAGAGACAGTCCAGTCCCACCCCTCCATTCGGACACCCCAGTAAGGAGCCTGGGGCCCGCCATAGCAGGGAGGTGACGTCACTGGAGCTCGGCCATCGGAATTCCTTCTCAGCGGAATCCACTTTAGCAAGCATAGTCTACCAGCACAAAAGAGAGATAACAGAGATATAAAAAACCAAAACAAATTTATAGAAGAGAGCAGAAACACAGCAATCAAATAGAACTGGAAAGTAGCGTGAACATCATGAAAAAACAAGGGAAAAAAGGATTACAAACAATGCAGGACAACTTAAATCTACAGGAGGACCTAGAAGCATCAGAAACAGGGATAGGGAAAGAACTCAAGGCATACCTAACTCAGATGGAAAGGAATATTAGAGAAGACATGAGACAGCAAGTCCAAGCAATAAAAGTATATTTTGAAAATTAATTAAACAAATTCAAATGGCAAAGAACGAGCTTTACCAGGAGATAGAGATCTTAAAAAAAAAATCAAACAGTAATCCTAGAAATGCAGGAAACTATAAACCAAATTAAAAACTCAAACGAGAATATTACAAATAGACTAGATGAAGTAGAAGTCAGAACATCAGATAATGAAGACAAAGTTTATCAACTTGAAAAGAATATAGTCAACACAGAAAAGATGCTTAAATCCCACGAGCAATCTATTCAAGAGATATGGGATGTCATAAAAAAACCAAATCTGAGAGTCATCGGGATAGAAGAAGGCACAGAGAATCAAACCAAAGGAATGGACAACCTATTAAATGAAATAATTCTAGAAAACTTCCCAGAGATGAAAGATGGAATGGATTGCCAAATCCTGGAAGCCTACAGGACCCCAAACATTCAAAACTGTAATAGACCAACTCCAAGACATATAATTATGAAGATAGCCAACATACAGAGCAAGGAGAGAATATTAAAAGCTACGAGAGAAAGGAGGCAGATTACATTCAGGGGTAAACCAATTAGGTTAACGACTGATTTTTCATCACAGACTTTGAAAGCGAGAAGATCCTGGAACAATGTATTTCAAACGCTGAAAAATAATGGATTCCAACCAAGAATACTGTATCCAGCAAAATTAAGCTTCAGATTTGACAATGAAATTAAAATCTTTCACGATAAACAAAAGCTAAAAGAATTCACAGCCAGAAAACCAGCACTGCAAAGCATTTTGAGCAAAATACTACAAGAAGAGGAATTGAAAAATAGAGCCCAAAACTAATAGCAGGAGGTATCTCAGTAAAGGGGGAGGAAAATAACCAGAAAGTAAAAACTAGCCAAACTAAAATAAATAAATAAATAAACATGACTGGAAGTACAAATCATATTTCAATTGTAACCTTAAATGTTAATGGCCTAAACTCACCAATCAAGAGACATAGGCTAGTAACCTGGATCAAAAAAACAAATCCAACAATATGCTGCCTGCAGGAGACTCATATGATAGGAAAATACATACACAGGCTGAAGGTGAAAAGTTGGGAAAAATCATACCACTCACATGGCCCTCGGAAGCAAGCAGGAGTGGCCATACTCATATCGAATAAAATCAACTTCAAACCTAAGTTAATCAAAAGGGATGAAGAAGGACACTATATACTGTTAAAAGGAACCATCCACCAACAAGACATAACAATTATCAATTTGTATGCACCAAACAATGGAGCTGCAACGTTCATAAAACAAACTCTCCTCAAGTTCAAGAGTCAAATAGACTACAACACAATAATTATGGGTGACTTCAACACACCGCTCTCACCATTAGACAGATCATCAAGACAAAAGCTGAATAAAGAAACTATTGAACTCAATAGCACAATCAATAACCTAGACTTAACCGACATATATAGAATATATCAACCATCATCAAGTGGATATACGTTCTTCTCAGCAGCACATGGATCCTACTCAAAGATAGACCATATACTATGCCATAGGGCAACTCTTAGTAAATATAAGGGCGTGGAGATAATACCATGTACCATATCTGATCATAATGGAATGAAACTGGAAATCAATGATAAAAGAAGGAAGGAAAAATCCTACATCACATGGAAAATGAACAATATGTTACTGAATGATCCATGGGTTACAGAAGAAATAAAGGAGGAGATAAAAAATTCATAGAGACAAATGACAATACAGACACAACATACCGGAATCTATGGGACACAATGAAAGCAGTTTTAAGAGGGAAATTCATTTCTTGGAGTTCTTTCCTCAAAAAAAGAAAAAAA